ATGTCAAAACTTACCCCCTCTTAGTTTTATTCAAAATGAATAAAACGTGAATTTCGTTAGAAAATGGTAACTTTTACTTCCGTTTAAAAATTTGCATAACATGTGTAGTATTTGGGCTGTAAACGAATTCCAACATTATAGCGCCATTCTTGAGGGTGTTCAGAGGTTCCAAGAACAATTTCATGTAGTTCTGTACAGCCATGACAACTTTATAGACAAAAATTTTCAGAATGGCAATGTGGGGTTATTTGGCCGGGTCAAGCGGGGCAACTTGGCCGGTGCGCTCAGAGTCACTATGCTGGGACGGCCGTGTTGTCATGGTAAATTATACCATAAAGGACATGATTCATGACCAACTTTGACTACCTTGATGCCATATCTCCCATTAGACAGCTGTAAGGGCATGTGACGTCATCAAAGGTTACCTAGCGCTTTTTTGCTAATAAATACTTACAGAAAAAAAGATACAGCCGCGCAAATGGTCTCATTGTGTTCAGCTCGTCAAGGTGCATCGAATGATATACATGATATACATGATGACATGATGACTCACGTAACCTTGAGGTCAAGCGACCTGAGGTAACGTGACCTGAAGCCAACCTTTGACCTTGACCTCTCGAGGTAAACACATACATGTTTCGATGCGGAATGACGAGAGAATTACGATGGTACTCTTAGTTTTGGCCTAGCTTGATAACTTCAAAAGTTATTCGTAAAAAACTGTCATCGCATCTAGAGCCGCTATTTTGACTATTTTCGACCCCTGTGATGGCTGAGTCAACCTCCAAAATGCTTCAAATGCGTCGTAGGACAAGCGTCATTGCTGAATGTGAAGCTGACTCGCCTATAACAAAAATCATGGCCTCAAACTAACATCGGCCAAATTGCCCCACACCCCCGGCCAAATAACCCTGCTAGTGGGGTAATTTGGCCGCTTTGCAGACCTTTGTAATACGTCACAATTTTAATATAAGTAGTTACTCTATCATTTCAAGTTTACTGTCCAGTAAAGTAAAATGTATGCCACACCTGTCAGCGTTGAGAAAATGGAGAAATGTGTTGTCATTTTTTAGTTACATCGTTTTCTAAAAAAAAGCGGCCAAATTACCCCACTCTCCCCTACATCTGAAGGACCCACACCGACACCTCTGAGGGCCCCACACCAGTATCTCGGAGCTCTGAAGGCCCCACACCGGTGACTCTGAGGACTCACCGGCTCCTGAGAGCACCATGTTGATGTCTAACGGCTCCACAAGGCCACTGAAGGCACCACACAAGCTCTCACTGAGCTCTAATGTCCATGTACCGGCCTCTGAGGGATTTAAGCTAGCGCATTCATAGCTCCACACTAGCAATTGTAAGGGCTTCACACTGAAGTATCTGAGGGTTCCACACCGGTGTCTCTAAGGGCCACATACCGGCATCTCTGAGCGCCCCATACCGGTGTCTCCGAGGGTTCACATCTGGCGGGCACCCATCAGCGACTGAAGGTCCCACACTGTCGACTCCGAGAGCCCCATCTGCGTCTGGGAGCACCGTGCCGTCTCTAAGAACCACAGCGGCTCCTCCGTACGAAAGATGGGCGTCTGCATGCCAAAGGGGAGCGGTTCTGAGACAGTAGGGCACCTACGTGCAATAGAGGGGCGCTTATGAAGCCCATAGGGGCGCCTCAATGCGAAAGAGGGGCGCCTCTGAGGCCTACGTATATGGGCGTCCACATGCAATAGAGGTCTGCAAATTGATCAATGCCATGGGGGTGCATTCATAAGCAACAGGGGCGCCGGCATGGCAGAGGCGCCTTCAAGTGTCCATAAAAGAGAGACGCCTATGATAAGCGCACATTGTATGCGACAACTGTGGGACATATAGGGATGTCTCTGATGACTATACATAGGGCGCTTATATGCCAAAGAGGGCGCCTATGAAGCTAATGGGGGCACCTGGGAAACGAGGAAGACATTTGTGTAAGGGTTTTCAGGGGTCATGCGCCGTTTACGGCAAATAGATTCAAAAAAAAAAAATCGGAGGGGGAATAAGTTTTAAAAATGGTGCGGACTTTCCGCACTGTTCGCTTAAGCGGTTACGCCCCTGGGCACATCTGCCCGATCTCAGAAGCTAGATTTGGAGGTCATACTTGAAAGCAGCCAGCAGGACGAGGCAAAAGTTGGAGGCCCCTGAAAATAGGAGGCCCCTTGACAGGGTGGCCCACCCACTTTTTATGACGTTCCTACGCCCGTGGACCGTACTAATGTGTGAAACGAATAGAGATATAATGCCCATGTGGTAAACGGTTGCATATCCTTTCGTCGACCGTATGTTTGTCTTTGACAAAGTGACGGTTCTTATCGCCACTGATGGCCGACGTCTGTAATGTTTATCTCTATAATCTGAAATGGACATCGGTTGTCTGGCGGCCCATCGCCACCAATGTGACAGCGAACCCACCTCTGCTCTATCGCACACAGTCTCCGTCTCATCTATGTAGGACGTATAGGTAGCGTATAATGCCTTCGGTAGACCATACATGACCTGTGGAAGCTATGGTGTTGCTCAGCACCTCGGTTTTGCACTATCCACCGTCTAGCGAGCATTGAGCTCGCCCTGAGCGTTTCCCCCTCCCGCGCTGCGCTGCTCGCCTTGGACCATTATCGTACGCCCCGGATGCGCCTCGTGCAGAGCAGATCGTGCGCAGGAGTCACGATCAACGGATCATGGGCACGGTCAGACCCCGGGGCGATGAGCGGATGAGGTGGGTATCGACATGAGGGTGGACGGAGCGAATAGTTCCTCGCTTCGCTTGGTGGAGATTCTGGTGGGAACTGGTAATGAAAAGGCACGGCATAAGGCATGCACTGTGTGTTGAGATGCTGGCTCTGCAATGTTGCAAGCTCTGGTCGACGTCGCAGTCTATCTTCTCCATTCTAACCTCCTCGATTGACGAGCGACGCCACTATTGACGACAGAACCCTTCACGATCTATTAGCGCAGGAGGCGCCGCTGTCGCCGCCCGCGACACTGGTCGACAGACGTCGGTACGATGAATGGCCGCCGCTGGAGCCGGGAAGGCGGCGGCGGCTCTGGACGCCCGCCCGGCCGTTACGTTGTGTTCGCCGGCTGCATTGGAGCATGGCGGTCGACCGAGCGGCGACGTAGCGGTCTGCACTCAGCAGCAGCGGTCCTCTGTTTGCCCACAGAGCAAACAGAGCACGGCTGGCTCACAGGCGCCCGCCCGCACACACACACACACACACCAGACCAGACACGCATACGCGAACGACATAATATGCGAGCACACGCTCACGTTCTGTACCCCAGTCTCTTCGGTCGCCTATGCACTAAGCTGAGCAGTACACGATTCAGGCAGGCTGCAAACTAACCTCACAGGCTAAGCGATTTTTACAGCCTGTGAGCTAAGCTCGCGGTAAACTACTAAAGCAATTGTTGTTACCCTGGCGGCTTTCAGTTTGCTTTGACATATAGCGGCACCTAAGCAGATAAATGGTCAACGTAAGCCTGGCTTAAGTTGCAGGGACCAGGGACTCTAATTCTAGCCTCTCATTTTTACTGGCTGCTCTACATAATCCGCCGTCCCTGGACCCTGGCAGCGCGAGCTCGGCTAGTTTCGACTTCTCGACTCTCGAGCTTACAGAGCGTGCTGGTCCGTGAACACTGACGTTTGACCTATGCGCAGTCTACATGCGCGCCGGCTTTGAACGTATATCCCATACACAACCCCGAGACCAGCTTCTGATCTGTTCCAATCGTTCTACTCCTAATACAGAACGGAACAAAATACCGGGCTTCTCAAAAAAGTTAGACGGATTTCTTTTGCGAATAGAGGACCCCTAACAACATTTAAGCAAAATCAATGCACGTGGAAAAACGGAGAATTTTTCGTAGATTTATATGACACCATGATTTGAGCTTAAAAAATGAAGCCGTGGTCTTAGAAAGTAAAAGCAAAACTCGTGAAATTATGCTTTCCCAGACTACGTCGGTCGGTTCGACACCACGGAAGATCCGCAAACACTTTAGGGCAAAGAGAGCAACATCTTGAAACAAAATTTTCCACATTTTTGACAAGTTTCTGGCTCGATGAAGTGTTAACAATAGGTTCACGCAATTCAAGGAACACAGCGGCGGCCATAAACCCAATCAAAAGCTCACGGCGAACACCACTCGTGTGAGAGATGCGCTACTCAGACTGTCAATGGTCAGCGATATCGGGTGGCTCTGGCGACGTTTTGGAGGGTTCTGCAATTGCAGGATGAGCAGAGATCCGGAAACGCTTAAGATCCAATGGTTCCAGCAAGACGGTGCCCCGCCAATACCGCTAAAGAAAACCGGGAGGGGCTGTGGGAGCGTTTCGGGCGGCGCGTGATCTCGAGGTTCGAGACACGCCCGTGGTCGGCGAATTCTCCGAACGTAACCCCACCGGACTTTTTCCTATAGGACCACCTCAAGTCCCAGGTGTACCGAAACCACCCAAAAAGTTCCGAAGATCATAAGTATGCAGTGAAGTCAGCGGTGTGCCGTCTGCAGCTTTCCGTGGGTCGTGCTGCAGCAGAGGTCGCGCTGCGCCGGGCTAAACTGCGCATCGAGCAAAAAGGGAATCATCTCGAATATAACCTCGGCGCGGCTCAGAAAGGCGACTGCCGAGGATCGAAATCCCCTCAAACGAAATGTCTTTGATGAGGCTTTTAGGTGATACCCAATTATGTTTTGTTACACTGATACACCCTTCAATACGTTAGTTATAAAATCGTCTAACTTTTTTGAGAAGCCCGGTAGAAGGTCCCGAATAGTTAATGGTGGAAACTAATAGCGAGTTACCCGTCTTCCCGGTCTGGCTCCGCTCTATCTTCTTTGTCACCAGCAGCGGCACGCCTAGTGAGGGCTCTAAATGGCCAGATTGTCTCCAGTCAGTGCTCGGTCCCACCCTCTGGCTATCCAGTGTTCATGTTCCATCCATGTCCGTCCGCTTCATCACAGAGGCCTGCTGGGCTGTACAGACCTGTGTATTTGCCTTGTGTTCCAGACCAATACAGTCAACACACTATTGGCATTAGAACGACACTCGAGACTCGGTAGAAAGCGGTAAGAACCGCAGCACACGAACACATACGTCTTCATCCGTCCAAACGCACATCAAACAAATACGCATCCATTCCAATGTCTCAAACACACGCACACAACAGGCGAGCGCCCAATACGCAAATACACAACACTCGACAGCAATAATTAGCACACATCCATCGCTCACACACAAAAACTAGGAGATTCGGTCACAAATTAAATATGTACATAAATACAGATGGGATTTGTCAGCGCCTAAAACCCGGTGTCAGACATTAGGGTATCGAACGGGCTAACGCCCATCACCGCCGAGAATTGTCGGACGTCGACGGCCCAGTCCAGCGCATAAATAACACTCAGTCCAGGTTATATATTCAGGATTCCGGATACCGGCGGGATGTATCAGATACCCCGCAGCGGGTAGAGGACGAGAGAGGGAGAGAGTGGAGGATGTCGGGAGATTGGGGAGCCGTGTATGGTTCAACACGCGGTCCACCACGTCCGATGGCTCTCCCCATATGCACACGTATACACGTATACAAGCATACATCGACCTCGCACGTGCGTCGTCCAGCGCAGTTGCGACGCACACTCACGTATACCGCACGCGCACATATGCGCCCGCAAAAACAAACATTTCGGACGCTGGGGCGAGGCAAAAAGAAACGACAAAACAACGGCGAAATTGACAACGATGAACAATAGTACAAACGACTGGTATAAAACGTGAAAATCGGCACACTTATCCGAGCACTGGTGGGTCTAGTGACCCTTTTGACTCGGCCTATAACCGACTCGGCCCTGCGGGCCTTTCTATGGCCTGAGGGGGCCCACCACAGTCCACGTGGGTCTCGAGGGACCCCACACGGATCCAGCAGACAGTGGACCCCGCGGATCCCACAGCAGGTCACACGGCGGGCGTGAATAAGTCACAACACTCTGTCCTCCCGGCCGCGACGCCTAGATCGGGAGAGGTGACGGCGGCACACCGATGGTGACGCTGCGAGTCACCAGTGACCGATGACCAGCGACCAGTGAACAAGTGACCCATGGTAACACCAGACCCGAGAGTGTCTCATCAGGAGCACAACACCATGAGAGCAGGGGCACAGCGAGACGACTTTCAGCGGCGTATTTGGATACAGCAGCTGCACCATGTTTGCGTCCGGCCAGAGTTTAGCCTAGACGTTCAGGTTCGCAGTCAGCGTCTCTTGCTTCGTCTGTGAGGCTGACACTGGCGTGGCCTTTGTACTGGGCAGTTGAAGATCCAGCAGTCAGGCCGGATGCAGGCGTTCTCCAGTCGTGGTAGATAATGCCTGAAAAACACAGAAGAGCACGTGTAAGCCACAGAGAGTTTCTTCACTTGGCTCCGACAGCGCAAACACAGCCACATTCAAAACATCAATATTTCATCGTCTTTGTGTTTTTGGTACACCGCTTTACTGGCTTCACTACACGCATTTCGTGGTAATGCGAGAATCCACTACACGGTCACGTTTCTCGTACATTGCTGGCTCTGAAACAAAGCCCGCCTGCGAGCTCAGCCCTGCTGCAAGGCGGGGTCAGCGGCCGGCCAACAGCGGATGACAGCGGCTCCGGACAGGAGGACACGGAGAGGGCCGTGTTCGGACCGGGACGACATCCCACGCGCCGGTCCGCGTCCGACGCTCCCCGGCCGCTGCCGCCAAAACGAACCATCCGGCGCTCCGTACCGCAGGGAGCCTATCATCGATCGGACCGTGCGGGACGGTTCGGCGCAACTCAGCGGGGAGCCGGGGGTGACTCAGAACTCGGCTCCGTGCAGCGCGCCAACAACATATGACCCAGCGTCAGCTCATAGGAGTGCAACTGACATCTCAATCATTTCGCAGCGGGGGAGGGAGACATGCAATTCAGTCCCTTCCGTGGAGTAAACGACTGGGACAACTTTACTGACTATCTAGGGGATAGGACTAAACTTAAGTGCTGAGGGTTCCTTCAAAGTTCAACCAAAGATGCTGCAAGACGTCAACGAATTGATGTCCTATATCTTGGATCTCAGCAAACGCAAACTCATCGACTTTTTTCGCCCGTTCCCGACTCAAACTACACTGACTCGAATGCAGCGGACGGGCGCGGACTTTGTCCCGCAAACAGCGTAGCGTTTTTATCGAGCTCGATTTCGCCCGTTTTTACAGTAGAGCGCGACAAAGCCGAGCGATTACAAAGGTCCTCGAGATGTCACGCGGCCCGGTGGGTGTCACGGCAACGCTGCTCGGTGGGTTCACATCGGTCAGAGCTGGTCTGCCACATCGGCCAAGGGATAGGGCAAAAAGCGTCTCGCTGTCACCATCAGGACACATAAAATACTAGACGTGTGACAAAGCGACTCTGAGACTGAGGAGACACGCTGGACGGTAGGAAGCACCCAGCGCGCGCCTCCTTTACAAACACAAAACCCTTCGTAAGTCCCGACAACATCACACAGTCAGCGTGCAAAGCTACACCCCGTCACGCGTGAGAGGGTCCGAACAAGCTGTGACTGCGCAAACAACACCTCAGCAGCTGCTCAGCTCCGCGCTGACCCCGCGTCAGATCAGATTCCGGTGCATTGGGACAGGCTTCACAGCGCAAACACCACAGCATCGTCCGGCTGCACAACAGCGGCCCTCTATCGTATCTGATCCCAGTGAGGCGATCAGATCGAACCCCTTCAGCAACACAACAGCGCCGTGACGTCAGCAAAACCTGCCGTGACGTCATTAGGGGGCCGTCAGAGAAACACAGAGGAGAGAAGCAGGCTGCAAACGGCAAGATTGGGCCTGTATAAGCCGCCTGCTAAGCGATGTCCATTCAGCAGTAAACAGCGAGATGATCAGCCGTCGTTTAGATTGCAGTCAAGATAGGACGGCGTTCAGTCAATTAGGACTGGTCGGGCGAAGAACGTGACAGAAACCGGATGTTTTTTTGGACAAAGACGGACCTTGGAACCGGTAAGCGCTATTGTATTGGCGAGTTCGCTGGACGACCACAGCCCAAAAGCCCAGACCTCGTCATATCGTACTTCGACAGTCATCAGATAACATACTACTCCAGTCTTAACTAACACATCCTCCAGTCCACGCCGTCCCAAACTAACAGTTCACACGATGATGCCAAAACAGAGTGCGGGGCCACTCTGGGGGCCCGTTGGTTCCGGAGGCTAGCGGCCAACACCAACAGAGCTGTGACGTAGGAAAGTGACGTGAGAGGACCGGCGGGCGTGGCCCCGGCCCGCGGGACGGGGGCCAACAGGAGGTGTCGGCACGCGGCACAGAGAGGATCGCCAATCACACTTGGCTTCAAAAGACAGCAAATGTGATTGATACGTGCATGGCTAAGGTTTTATTGAAGGGAGAGGGTCAGCTGACAGCTGGCCATTTGGTCAATATAAATAATACCAAACGCACTCTCCTATTGTTTCAAAATGAGTCATTTGGCTTATCCTGTCATACTGTTGTTAAAACTGTTATTAAAACTTTGAGATCAACTTCTCTGTCTCCATAGTCTAGCCCGCGACGTCTCTCGTCCTCGATCACCATCGGTTCAAGTCACATCGCCCTGCCAGGCCAAAAACAATGGCTCCGTCCGTTCTCGGCGACACCGACACGGTTCGGCCTGTCGCCCTCATCCTGCTCCGCTCGCCAGTCTCATCAGATAGGGCCGCTCAGAGACAAAAACAGCAGCGCGCGCTGCCGGGGGCAGTGGGGAGGTCCGGCCGACCACACGAGCACGCCGAAACGCCAGTCATTCCGAGCGCTGAGCGAGCTCGAAGGACGCACACGATGTCCGCACAGCGGTCAGAACAGGCGCCGCCGGCGCGGTGGAGGGGTGGAGAGTCAGAGAGACGTCGTCTCCTCCGGCGTCGGCAGCCCCCAGTGCGGAGGGAGCCTGCTTTTTACACCATGTCGAGAGACGGCCGACAGCTGAGAGTCGAAGAAAGCGCCGTCGGCAGCGGTAGCCAGGGGCGTGCGCCGTGCACGGCGTGCAGCAGCCTTGGGCGAGTCGGGAGGCGGCCGGCGGGAGAAAAAAGGTGTGAAAAGGCGCGAGAGACCCACGCTGCAGGCGCTGACAGGCGCCCTCGGCGCGGGCACAGCTGCATCAAAACCTCCCTCCCGAGCGCCGAAAGCAAAGAAATACCGTCCTGCACCACCAAAGATCCAGCTGCTGGTTGAAAATAAACAACTGGCATGATATCCCATCATAAAATGGAACATTTAATCCCGCTAATCGAATTCCCCAGATTTATTTAGAGGAAATGCCCAATGGAATCCGATACCTACACATATTTGCTAAGGAAACCTATCGAATGTAAGCAATCTCGCATACCGGCTTAATCGGAGCCGATGATGGCCGTTGGGTACAACACATTGACCCATGGGGTGCGCATTTATCAGTTGCAGTGGCAGACCATCCAAAGATATCGGCAGTGCTTGAAGGCAAGCCCCCATTAGCATACCATATTCTCCAATGCATTCCGTACTTACGCAATCATTATCTCATAGATTTATGGTGATGAACAAATTGGCAACAGAAAATATACGCCACGCAAATTGTGAGTGACGCGTTGAAGAATAAAGCTACACGGGAGAACGTTATTCAACGTTCGCCATTTTATCATGCTTTTCACTTCACTGCCTCATGCTAACACCCCTTTTCGTCCGCTGCCAACTCACTTTCTTCCATCCAATTTCTGCATACATTTTCTGCACTCAGGCGGCGTAATTCAGGCGTTAATGGTCCTAATGACAGCTGGAGGCGCGCTGCCTTCTACAGGATTGAATGGTGGCCCGTTTGGCTCAGGGTAATTTCCTTGATTGGGAGCTGTGCGGTGGTCGGACGGGCCCCACACAGTGGTGGGTGGTGCGGCGGACGGCCGGCGCCCTCCCCTGCACGGCGAGCAGAAAATGGAACGGGTTCGCAGATGATCAGCTCATACTCCGGCTCATCAGCCTCATATGTCGGCTCATCAGCGAGCCGCGATAGCATCGCACGACCGAACCGTAAAAATGAAATGGAAAATCAGAACTCCGTGTGAAAAAAAGGCAGCCGGAGCGAAGCCTGAGACCAGGGTATGCTTGAACCCTTGGAAGCGAGCTACGTCTTCTACAAGGTCAGGCATAAACAAACAAACAGTCTACCCAGTAATCTAAGCATCAAAATATTTCCAGTGTCCAAAATATTCCAGTCATCACCTGTTCCCAGGGACCCTATCTATTCGTTCTCCAGGGATCCAATCCGTCTGTCACACCGAGCCTATGGTCTGTGGTCCGGGGATTCATTACGTGCGGTTTGCGGTCCGCCGGCCGGCCGGGCAGTGGTACCGTTCACCGCCCACTGCTGGCCGTGACAGGAGTGCCCAAGATAGACCAGTCGAGCCATGTGACGCACCATGGGGCTGACGCCGGGCGGTAACACAGGCACCGAGGGGCTGTTGTGAACGGAACCGCTCCGACCGGGCGTGACCGAAATAACGTGACGGGAGGGAGGGGTGTGACGCGTCACGGCTAGATTTTCGGGCAAAGGAGGGTAGGGAGAGAACTGTTGAGCAGGGACAAACGTTGACCGTAGAACAGCAAGCAGGGACACCAAATTACTTATCAGTGACCACCTACAGCCTACAGGTCAATGTAATACGTGTCCATTGTCAGTTGGCCCCAACTGCATCATTTCAAAACAGAGCTCCCCAATCCCACTCTTCCTTCTTTACCATGAGGCTATCAGCCGCTCAAGCCAGCCTTCTGACCCGCCTACCGTCATATTCATGTCCCTGAAGCATCGACAATAGGGGATACTTGGAACTCGTGCCCATTGAGAGGCGTCGCCCGCTCCTGACACGACCATCAATCAGCCTGCAATATGGAGATGTTTCGACGAAGTAGCAGTGGCGAAAGGTACGATAAACATGAACGTTGCGCAAAACATAATGCCTCCACCTGGATGGATACCCGTTGTGGGAACTTCTGAGAAGTTTGACGAGCCTCAAAATCAATCTTCGCGAGTGGGCCTAATTAAAGTTTGCGAGGAGCGAAGTTGAAGACGGATAAGAAAGTTCAGAGCGTCACGGACAACAATGAGCAAAATGTGATAGAAAGTAGCCAAGAAAGGCAACAAAAACGTGAAGAAGAAAACGTGGACACGTCGCACAATGGCCGTGCGTCCTGTCCCAGCGGTGTTCCATGACACAGCCCGTCGTCCAGCTGAAAGTCGGTCGATCGATCCTTCGACCAGCTACCGGTCAAACGGAGGCAAGGTCACGCCGTCACGCCGTCGGTCAGCCAGTCACGCTGGTTAGTCG